AAAGAGATCAGTATGGAGGGAAGAACAAGGCAAACAAGGCAAAGTCTAAACTCAAGCATCCTGACCATGAAGTTGGAATCTGCTTAGGCAATGAGACTTCTGATCACGTAACTGATGTTGTGTGTCTTTGCATCTAAAATATGATAATCAGGTGGAAGCTGCATAACTGATAATATATCTTGAATACATAACCTGGATATACATATACAGATCCATACTGCCTGTGTGCTATTGCCATGGTCATAACAGTCCCCAGAAAACTACCTTATTGGGTTCAGCTGTGAGAAGAGAAGGAGTCTATTATGCTGGTGATCAGGGCATGGGCAATGATGTTTCCATCCCCTTCCACCAACCAGTGAGGTTGAAATGATCAGAAGGAGGACACCAATTGCACTGTCACTAGCCAGGGTCATAGCAGAAACATTATCTGGTTGAACACTGATTACTCTTTATGGCTGATGCTCAGGAAAATAGGGGGCTGTTAGGCTGGAAGACACAATTTAGTTAAGCAATTCAGATAGCTACATAACTAAGTGCATGTAAGTCCACAGAGTGAAGCTGCTTGGCACACGTGTTCTGGTTTTATATCTGTAAAATGCTGGAGTTTATGTATATGTAGATAATATTTTTCAGGCACCTTTATGCCTTTAACATGTCAGTATTAGAAATACTGTTAGGCAAATACTCACTGATATTATTGTGGGTTATTTCCAACAAGACATGCTAAGGATCTCAAAAGATTCACCATTTTGTCTTTAGTTTTGATTGCCTAGTTCTAGATTGCATTTTAGTTGATATACAGAAGTTTAAAAGCTACTGCCCATTATATTAGAAGATTGCCTTCTCCTAAATGGGTTTCTTTCTAGTAGGACATTTACAAAAATATCAAATACCTCAACAGCAGCTTTGGCTCTTTCAAATTCCTCTTCCATGGAATGGTGTCGTGACAGGAGGGCACCTCCCCAACGTTGCTCTTTGGTAGATCGAACCTAAAATAAAAAAAATAAAAAAATGCTGGTAAAATGTTAATTGGATGGAAATGGTTGTTGAATTACTTGCATTGAACTAATGAGATTGTACATTATGGAGAAACCCTACTTACTGTGTCTATCTCCCAGTACCTTCACTGCGAACAACTAAAGTTAAGAGTAGACAAACCCAGGACCATACCAACCCCTCTACCATAAGCCAAAAAGTGAACAGAATGTTGTTTTTAGTTTGAATAAGAAACCATGGTTTAAAACACCGGTATTTTTTTAAAAAAATGTGTATTTTAAACCAGGACAAAATGTACATATGCTTGCACGTGTGAAATGTTGATCTAGAGCAGCAGTTCTCAAACTTTAGTTCTCCAGGTGTTTGGGGCTTTAGGTCTCAGAATTCTTAAACATAAGCTACAGTGGCTGAAACTTCTAGGAGTTGAAGTTAAAAAGACCCAAAGAAGCAGAGTCTGAGAACCATTGGTCTAAAGGAGAATAGCCTCTCAGGGGCGCTTTCAGGATATGGGTCAAAGAAAACATTTGTGTGCATTTTAAAGAATTATTTTAGTGGAAGTCCGGTCCTCCAGGGTTTGTTGGTGGACTAATGCATCCTTCCAAGATTTTTATAGCTGCTCCAGAATCTAGTGTTTTCATCTTTTTATTGTTGTTGAAGGAAACAGGAATGAAAGGCAGCAGATTTTGGCCCAAATTTTACTATTATGTCTGGCTAGAATAAACCCACTGAATCAATGAGATTCACTTATGTGTTGACACATCAATAAACAATGGAGTACTTCAGTTGGAACTGGTCAACACCCATACACTATCCTATCCAAACTGCTACTCATGTAGTTGTGCATTCTCAGAAGGCACATAACTGATGTGATGTGGCGGCAAAAAAAGCCAATGGGATTTTGGCCTGCATCAATAGGAGCATAGTGTCTAGATCTAGGGAACTAATGCTACCCCTCTATTCTGCCTTGGTTAGACCACACCTGGAATATTGTGTCCAATTCTGGGCACCACAATTCAAGAGAGATATTGACAAGCTGGAATGTGTCCAGAGGAGGGCGACTAAAATGATCAAGGGTCTGGAGAACAAGCCCTATGAGGAGCGGCTTAAGGAGCTGGCATGTTTAGCCTGAAGAAGAGAAGGCTGAGAGGAGATGTGATAGCCATGTATAAATATATGAGAGGAAGCCACAGGGAGGAGGGGGCAAGCTTGTTTTCTGCTCCCTTGGAGACTAGGACACGGAACAATGGCTTCAAACTACAAGAGAGGAGATTCCATCTGAACATGAGGAAGAACTTCCTGACTGTGAGAGCCGTTCAGCAGTGGAACTCTCTGCCCTGGCGTGTGGTGGAGGCTCCTTCTTTGGAAGCTTTTAAACAGAGGCTGGATGGCCATCTGTCAGGGGTGATTTGAATGCAATATTCCTGCTTCTTGGCAGGGGGTTGGACTGGATGGCCCATAAGGTCTTTTCCAACTCTTTGATTCTATTATTCTATGAACTACTTGTTAGTTCTTTCTATGTACCTCTTGATTCACTGGGATTGTGGAGGTAACAATTGCTCATTCCTCAAAAGTCTGAGGTAGCGCCAATTACCATTCAAGCACCAGCATGCAGTTTACTCTACTTCAGCTAGTGAGAGTAGGATAGAGAGATACAAGAGACACAATGGCGAATGATGAGGAGAATCAGCATCAGCGAGAATGAGTCAATGACTTGTGGACTAGATTAGTACTCATGGACAATAGAGAAAGATGAGCAGAGCTGGACACCGAGAAATAGAGAAAAAGGAGGGCCTGGATTATTAAAGAGAAATGAGAGGCAGAAAGGGAGAGATCTAGGAGAAAAATATAAAGGGGAAGGGAAGGAGGATTACCATAGATATAATCATGTATAAGTTGAGGGCAGGGTTTGTGGCCAAAATTATGGAGCCAGCTTTCTGCTGCTTTGCACTTTGGTCTTTGTTCAGCCACTTCCCCATATTCTTCTCATCCTCATTGGGAAAGATTATACCTTTTAATTAAGTATTTTACAAAGAAAATCCTCTGAATTCACAAACATACTGAAATGTCCCTTTTGAAATGCAAGAGAAAGTAGTGCAATGACCTAAAAACGTTGTTTCCTCTAAGCTCTTGACCTCATACTTGTTTGAGGTTAAACTCATTAGCCAGATGTTCGCCCTAGAGTGGATTGAAACAGCATCTACTTATATTATTATATTTTGAATTGTTATTATCCTTGGGGTCATTCGATTGCAATGAGCCATTTTCATACTGAATAGAATTTCTATCACATTAAAATTCAGGGCTGAGTCCAGGTTGTGAAGGGTTGTATTTCTCAATCTCCAAGCCCCACAATCCTCATCAACTGGATAGAATTATGCCAGGAGTTAAAACTCACACACACACACCCTGCAATGGTAAGCACACAGCACTGACCAGACTATTCATAATTGTTAATCCCAACATTTTAAAACCGAGGCTTTTAGCTATCAGAAGTCCATCCTTTGCTCATTTTGTTGCTGATTATAGAAATAATCCAAGTAATTTGGACAGACATTTCCCTAACATTTTTCTGTATGCAAACAAGGGGCACAAGCCAAGTTCTTGAGCATTTAAAACAATCTGCTCCTCTTGGATGCACATACTACTTGGAATATAAATAACCTGCACCCACCACCCTGGAGAGAAGTGAAATCATAAATCATAAAATAGGCATAGAAATTCCTTTTTCTGTGGGTGAAACTACACTGTAGGATTATTGCAGTTTGACCCAAGTTTAGCTGGCATTGGTTAATGTACTTTGGTGAGGCAGCAGCATTCTAGTACAGAAGGCAAAAGACCATGATTCCATAGCATTCAGACATAGCAGTTAAAGTGATGCAAAACTGCATTAATTCTACAGTGTAGACACACCCTGTCTTTTGGGAAATAAACAAATCAGAGAACCAGTAGCCACATCTGGCTAACATTATAAACAAAATGAAGTTCAAGATAGTCCACTTAGGTAGAAAAAAATGAAATGCAAAGATACAGAATGGGGGACAATGCCTGGCTCGACAGCAGGATGTGTGAAAAAGATCTTGGAGTTTTTGTGGACAAGTTAAACATGAGCCAACAATGTCATGCGGTAGCTTAAAAAGCCAATGGGATTTTGGCCTGCATAAATAGGAGTATAGTGTCTAGACCCGTGGTACTCCTCTATTCCGCCTTGGTCAGACCACACCTGGAATACTGTGTCCAATTCTGGGCACTGCAATTGAAGGGAGATGTTGACAAGCTGGAATGTGTCCAGAGGAGGGCAACTAAAATGATCAAGGGTCTGCAGAACAAGCCCTATGAAGAGCGCCATAAAGAGCTGGGCATGTTTATCCTGAAGAAGAGAAGGCTGAGAGGAGACATGATGGTGATGTATAAATGTGTGAGGGGAAGGCATAGGGAGGAGGGAGCAAACTTGTTTTCTGCTGCCCTGGAGACGAGGATGTGGAACAATGGCTTCAAACTACAGGAAAAGGAGATTCCATCTGAACATTAGGAAGAACTTCCTGACTGTGAGAGCTGTTCAACAGTGGAACTCTCTCTCTGCCCTGGAGTGGGGTGGAGGGTCTTTCTTTGGAGGCTTTTAAACAGAGGTTGGATGACCATCTGTTGGGGGTGGTTTAAATGCGATTTTCCTGCTTCTTGGCAGGGGGTGGACTGGATGGCTCACAAGGTCTCTTCCAACTCATATGAGCACAAAGGTGTTCCTGTTTTCCTGTTGCCTTCTTTCTACCTTCTCAAGCATTATTGTCTTTTCTAGTGAATCGTGTCTTCTCATGATATAGCAAAATGACAACACTGTCAGTCTACTCCAGGGGTCTTCAAATAGAGGGCCAGGTCACAGTTCCCCAAACTGTTGGAGGGCCGGATTATAATTTGGGGGGGAAAAATGAATGAATTCCTATGCAAACTGCACATCTTATTTGTAGTGCAAAAACACTTAAAAACAATGCAATAATAAAAATGAAGAACAGTTTCAGCAAATATAAACTTATTAGTATTTCAGAGAGGAGTGTGGGTCTGCTTTTGGCTGATAAGATAGGATTGTTGTTGTTGTTGTTGTTGTTGTTGTTGTTGTGTGCTTTCAAGTAATTTCAGGCTTAGATTGACCCTGAACGAGGGCTGGGTAAATGACCTTGGAGGGCCTTAGCTTGAGGACCCCTGGTCTAGTCATTTTTTCTTCTAAAGTAGTATAGGCTTGATTTGTCCCTGGATTCATTTCTCTGTCTTTTTAGCAGTGCACACTGTCCATAAAACATTTTTCCAGCATCCTATTTCAAATTAGTTGATATGGTTGAGCAACCAAATTCAAAGGATGCTCCCCAATGGTTCTTCTTCATCTGTCTAATAAAACCCTATAAAGTCACTATAAGTTGACAGGCAACTTGAAAGGACAGATACACAAAAAAATAAGGTAGGAAGGAAATATAAAAACAATGAAAAGTACTCCATAAAAATGATAGATCATGGTTTCTCCTTGTAAAAGAAAAGAAAAAATTAATGTCACTAAATTAATGTCCCACATTCACATGGCTATGGAAATGTAGTTGCAGCCCTGGGATTGGAAGCAACTTTAGATGGCAAAGTGTACCGACTCTGACTTAGAATAATAGAATCATAGAGTGGGAAGAAATCTTGTGGGCCATGCCAGGAAGGAGGAAACCCACATCCAAAGCACCTCCAACAGATGGCCATCCAGCCGCTGTTTAAAAGCCTCCAAAGAAGGAACCTCCACCGCACTCCGGGGCAGAGAGTTCCACTACTGAACAATTCTCACAGTTAAAAATGTGTTCCTCGTGTTCAAGTGGAATCTCCTTTCCTGTAGTTTGAAGCCATTGTCTTGTGACTCTAAATTAAAAGTTTATGCTATGGGTAACACAGCATTTTATACTTATATTTTATAGTTGATACAACATGTATATTTCATATCCTATCACTAAGTAGAGGATGATTCACATGGTAGAAGCAGAATGTCTTGTGCTGCCATTTTGCTACAGTAACCTTATTATGACTACTTAATATATATATTTGCCATTTATGAAGGGCTTGAAGTCAGATGGTAGAAAGACAAGAGGAAGAACTGGAGTCAGAGTTGAAGATTTGGCATATGAACTCCACAGTTGTGCACTTTGAAGCCCTTGTCACTTAGCAGATAAAAATGGGAAAACATTGTGCTCACAAGATCTTGCTCCCAGGATCTCAGGAAGGCATAGCGCTATCTCAGCCTTGCCAAGAATGGACAGTAGAAATGATCTCCATGGAATCACAGATGGTGAACTGAAATTTTCTTAACAAGATAAACCCTATGGTGCTTAGCCAGATTGTGAGGTCTATCCAAAGCTGAATTTGGATATGCAGATGAACAGGGAAAGAACAGAACAGCCTGATACTGCCCGTTGTTACTAAGGAGTAAATACCACTGAGTTCAATGGAGTGAACACTCAATTACAGTACAACCCTCCATATCCATGGGAAATACATTCTTGGATTTATTGTGAAAACATAAAACCATGGATAATAAAAAAGCCTATTGAAAGTAATTACTTCTGACAGAAGCATAATATAGATCCATTTGGGGGGATGTAATAAATGCCCAGAGACAACAACTCTCCAGTCCAATGGCTCTCAACCTATGGGTCCCCAGCCAGTCTACCAGCTGTTAGGATTTCTGGGAGTTGAAGGACAAAACATCTGGGGACCCACAGGTTGAGAACCACAGTTCTAGTCTCTCTAGGTTCTCCACCTTTGGTGAAAGCAAACCACATGATTGCACTGGAGGACCTAGAAAAATGCCTAGAGAAGTATATCTTTTTTGGCACCAGCTAGTGAAACTATGGAAACAACCCCCAATACGGGGGTTGTACTGAATATATTTGTGTAGGATTGCACTCTTAAAGTGTGATATAGACTCAGAAGAATAGCTCACTGAGGCTGGATCTACACTGCTATATAATACAGTTTCAGAATGCAGATTAACTGCATTGAACTGGATTATATGGCAGTGTAGACTCATATAATTCAGTTAAACACAGTTAATTTGCATTATGAAACTGCATTATATACTAGTGTAGATCTAGCTTGAGTTGAATGGAAATTACTTCTAGATACAGGCCTGATTTAGCAACTAATAGGCTTTTAATCCATTAAGTGGTTAGATTAAAACATTTCAAAAGTCATATAGGGAGTGGGAATGAAGTGAATTCAATCATGTAATGAGAAAGTTGATTGTAAAAGTAACCTTAAAAATTACATTTATTGGACATTAAAGATTTTTGAGCCCTTTACCAAGAATTTTCCAAGTTCCATGCCATTCCTTTGTCAAGTTAAGGTGTTTAAAGTAATGACATCTAGCAAATAAATAAGCAACACAGCAAGCAATTACTGCATTTTGCAGCAGAAGGGATTCTGGGAATGATATTCCAAAGCAGTAATATTCTCAAGTCAGGACCAAAAGTAATGTGTTAAGCCTGTTTGATAGAAATAATTGCCTTTGTCTTCTTTAGAGATGTAATTTTGCTACAGTTAGAGAACTGGAGGAAGACTTTACTCAACATCCTTGAAATGAAGAGTAAAGACGATGAGCAGGGTGGATTAGAAAGTAATATTTTCCACTCCTTATCATGATGAAAGTAATCCTGCTGACTGTCTAGTATTGTTCTTTTGCACTGTTCTGGGGCATACTGACCTGTGAGCCAGTTTTGATCAGAAGATTATATTTTAGGGTATTGGAAGCAACCAAGTTCCAGAGAAACATCAACAATTAATTTTAACACAAGATATTAAAAATCATATCACTCAACAGTGTTCCAATGTTTAGTTCGGGTTTTTAGTGCAACATTTTTCATTGTAGTATCGATTTTGTAGCATGTTTTCAAAGGCTTAGTGGAACAGTCTGATTTATGTCTGGAAGAGTATTTAATGGTGAGGAAGTGCTGTGTCAAAACAACTCATATTTTTCCAGCGGCCTCAGTGTGACTGCCTTTTTTTTTTTGGCATTTGTTACTCCTTTTGACAGAGCACTGAATTCCCTGAATGGCCATTCTTGAAGAACACAAATGGTAAAAGCAACAGCATTTTAGCAAATCCCAGTTAACCAGATCATTCATGTGACAAGAAAATAGTCCAAAATACTCCTCCTGACAAGGAGATATGCAACAAGACTCCTTCATACTAAACTGCAACCTCTATTATCTCTATAATGCTAGTTGTTCATGGGATCTGTAGTCCAGGAACATCTGGAAGACCACCGTTGCCTATACCTGATTTACAATGTGGTACCTGTGGTACCTGTGGACAGAGAGTTTCATCTATGCTGATGATCGTGCCATTACTGCTCAAGCAGGGAGCTTTGAGATGGTTGAACAGAAGCTCTCGAAGCTCTAGGTGCTCTTACTGCCTATTACAGGGAAAACCAACTGATCCCTAATCCATCTAAAACACAGACATGCGTTTCACCTTAAGAACAGACAAGCATCCCAAGCTCTGAGGATTACCTGGGAAGGAATCCCACAGGAGCATTGCAACACACCCAAATACCTGGGAGTCACTTTGGACCATGCTCTGACCTACAAGAAGCACTGCCTGAACATCAAACAAAAAGTGGGCGCTAGAAACAACATCATACAAAAGCTGACAGGCACAACTGGGGATCACAACCAGACACAGTGAAGACATCTGCCCTTGCGCTATGCTACTCTGCTGCTGTGCGCATGCCCAGTGTGGAACACATCTCACACACTAAAACAGTAGATGTGGCTCTTAATGAGACATGCCGCATTATCACAGGGTGTCTGAGCCCCACACCACTGGAGAAATTACACTGCTTAGCCGGTATTGCACCACCTGACATCCGCCGGGAAGTAGCAGCCAATAGTGAAAGGACCAAGGCAGAGACATCTCCAGCTCATCCCCTGTTTGGGTATCAGCCAGCACGTCAATGACTTAAATCAAGAAATAGTTTTCTTAGATCTACAGAGACACTCGCTGGAACACCCCAGCAAGCGAGAGTCCAAAAGTGGCAGGCCCAAACCCAGCACCTCAATTCATGGGTGATACCAGATGAGAGACTCCCCCCTGGGCACTCAGAAGACTGGGAACTTGGAAGGCGCTGAACAGACTGCGCTCTGGCACCACGAGATGCAGAGCCAATCTTAAGAAATGGGGTCACAAAGTGGAATCCACGACATGCGAGTGTGGAGAAGAGCAAACCACAGACCACCTGCTGCAATGCACCCTGAGCCCTGCCACATGCACAATGGAGGACCTTCTCGCGGCAACACCAGAGGCACTCCAAGTGGCAGATACTGGTCAAAAGACATTTAACCAAATACCAAATTTGCAAAATCTGTGTTTTTTTTCCTTTTTCTTTTTAATCTCTGTGTTTGTTTTGCTCTGTTAGAATTGTAACCTGTGGTACAATGCTTATATCTGCAGAACTGGCATGTTGGTGGTTTTATTTATCAATTTCTGATCAACTTCAAAAGTAGAACTGGCCTATGCAAAGACCATTAATGGAACCAGGAGAAATTGTACATTCAAAACAGAACTAAAGCAAATTCAATACCTTAAAAAAAAATAACAACAATGAATGGCATGATGCCATTGAACTGACTTTGCGTCAATTTAAAATATTACATGGAAAAGAGAAATAACATTGGCTTAAGAGGCCAATCTGAAGCTAGGTTTGAATGTAAACTTTTCTGACTCAGATATGAACTTTCTACATATTTTCTTGCTCCTCCAATATGATCCTTGGCACTTTTGGCCTGGAAGTCCATTGTCTCAATAGGGTTCGCTATGTTTTGTGGCTATGTGTATCCATGAGAAGTCTGGGAAGGTATACTCCATGAATGTGGTGGTTGTACAGTATGATATATCTGTATCTACACATCTGTTATGATGGAGGGAATCCTTCGAGTGTCTTATACATGTATAAGTTCCCCAATGGAACTAGATGGACATTCCTATATGATGTGGACTGTCCATAGTTCAAATTTTAGGCGCAAACACACACACACACACACACACACACGAGTTGTACATGTGATGGACATGTACATTTGGCTCCACATTTAGGTATCCATTCAGTTGCAAAATGTTACCATCCATCACAAGGCTGCATAGCACAATCAATGCATTTCTCTACACCATGTAAACCTATCATTCTACTGATACATCTGAATTCCAACAAGGTCTTTCTGTATGAAAGTGATATCTTACCTTTGGTGCAGGTGCTAATTCTAATTCTGAGGCTGAATTGGATTCCAATGCAGTTTTGACACTGGCTGCTTCTGATTTAGTGCTATTCTCGGCAGACCTGTGAAGAAAGCATTTGTGCATCCCATTATAGGCATTCCAACATAATAGACAGTGAAACCAATCTTTTTTGGGGCTTAAGCACAAAGACTCACACTCACATTGTATGATATTTACATAATTACACAACATCATTTTACACCAGTGGTTCTTAACCTTGGGTCCTCCAAAAGTTTTGAATCTCCAGTCCTCACAGTGACCAACCATTGGCAAAGCTGATCAAGGTTTCTGGGAGATTAAGTTCAAAACATCTGGGGAACTAAAGGTTGAGAACATGAGACACATAAGCAGGAAGGACTGAACAGGATTGTCTTTGTGGCTCTGGTTTCCATTACTAGTAGCAACATGCAAAAGATTGATTTGTGTCTATCTTGTGAACTGACATGGGAACTCCAAGTGTCTGTGGAGTTCTGGCATCATCCTATGGAAGAGACATACAAGACCCATCTGCTACAATTCAGTTCAAAGCAGATAGTCTAGATTTTATATGGCAGTGTATATGGCACCACAGATTCAAACCCAGGGCTTTTGGGACCAACACTCAAACCACTAGCTCTCTTTCCGGTACTACAAAAAGTAGTACCATCTGCTACGAAAAGTAGCAGTAACAGACATGTGAGTGTACCTGCCCAACTTTAAATGCAAAGCAGTGAACAAGAAATAAGAGCAAGTTCATTCAATGACTTTAGTGCAAGCATTATAGTCACAGGGACTTGAATCCAATTCTAAGTCCCACCTAGAGTAAACTGTTTGAATCAATATTTAGGTAACTGCTGTCTTCCCAAGGACCTTGTAAAACTGCAACTCCTATGATTTTATAGCATTGAGCAATGACATTTTAAAATAATGCCAACCTGCATTAATTCTACAATGCTGATGCACGCAAGTATCATTAGGAAATGCAGAATGCACAACCACGTGCACAATGGAGGCTGCACAGCCGTAATATATAATGCACAACGCACAATTTGCAAAGACAAGGGACAGATGAGCATGCTCTCAGGGCAAATCGGCTTTTCCTGGCATCAGCAGAATATGTCCTCTCAGAACAGTTGCTGTGCTGAGTAAGGGTGCAAGAACCAGAGTTTGGGAAACAAATCTATGTTTCAAACCACCTTAACTGCCATGGCTTAACGTTGTGGAATCCTGGGAGTTGTAGCATGGTGAAGAACCAGCACTTTTTGGCAAAAAGGTGAAAAACCTTGTAAAACTACACCTCCCATGATACCACAGCATTGAGGTGTGGCAGTTAAAGTGGTGTCAAAATGCATTAATTTTACAGTGTAGATGAGATTGTGGGAATGATAGTTCCCAAAAGCACTGGGAATGTGTGTGTATTGGCCATTCTTGTCACAAATTATTGCTATAGTGGTCCATGCTCTTGTTACATCCCGATTAGATTACTGCAACGCACTCTACGTGGGGTTGCCTTTGAAGACTGTTCGGAAACTTCAATTAGTCCAGCGGGAGGCAGCCAGATTACTCACCGGAGCGTCATACAGGGAGCATACCACCCCTCTGTTATGTCAGCTCCACTGGCTGCCGATCCAGTTCCGAGCACAATTCAAAGTGCTGGTTTTGACCTACAAAACCCTATACGGTTCCGGCCCAGCGTATCTGTCCGAACGGATCTCCCTCTACGTCCCACCTTGGAGTTTAAGATCTTCTGGGGAGGCCCTGCTCTCGGCCCCGCCTCTATCAAAAGTGAGATTGGCAGGGACGAGGAGCAGGGCCTTCTCAGTGGTGGCTCCTCACCTATGGAATTCACTCCCTGGGGAAATTAGATCAGCGACATCCCTCCTTTCCTTTAGAAGGAAATTAAAAACTTGGATTTGGGACCAGGCGTTTGGGCAATCTGCCAGATAAATAAAGGACTATGACGACGGATAGGAATAGACAATGTGGAATGAAATATGGACTCTGAGTTGGTGAACGCTGAGCATGAGATTGGTTTATTGATTGTGATATATATTGATTGTTTTAATTGTTATAACTGTTTAATTGTTGTTTTTATACATTTTTGTATTATTGTGTAGGCATCGAATTGTGACTGTTTGTAAGAGGCCCTGAGTCCCCCCTCGGGGGTTGAGAAGGGCGGGGTAGAAGCACACTAAATAAATAAATAAATAAATAAACCGCATTGTAAAAACCAAGCAATATATTTTACCATAAAAACCCTCCCACATGCACATGCAACCTGAGCCCTGCCACATGCACAATGGAGGACCTCCTTGCGGCAACACCAGAGGCACTCCAAGTGGCCAGCTACTAGTCAAAGGACATTTAGTCAACTACCAAGCTTGAAAACTTTGTGGTTTGTTTGTTTGTGTTTGTTTGTTTGTTTGTTAAAAAATGCAATGCAACTCTTTGGTCTGCTCCTGACATGATAAATAAATAAATACCATAAAAATTCTTTTGACGAAGCTCTGGAAGATGTTTTTTTCTCAGGTGCTGGAAAACCTTTGCTGAGTCTGTCTCCACGAAACTTCACGTCATCCCATTTCTCTAGCTGCGCCTGGATATTGACTGAGAAGAAGAAAGAGAAAATGAGTTTCTGCAAGGCCTCTGCAGATCGGAAATAGATTTCATACCCTCTTCCAAAATGAAATTCTCACACTCAATAATTATAAACTCGATCCACCCCGTACTATCTGCTGCTGTTGTTAACACCACTGAGAACAAGAGAAATGCCTGACAGCTGGCCGTGGATGTGCTGAAATGTTCACAACTGAAACACTTTCAGAAATCATTAAAGCTTTCCACAAAGGCATTTAGCGTGCGCTGCTTTTATGAACAACAAGGGAGAGAGGGAAAAGATTTATAAGGACAATGTCCTTCTGGAAACAGAGGGAATATTGAAAGCTTGTATGCATTTCACAGCATCTGCTTCTTTTTTCCAATATTAGGTCTGAATTGGAGTTGATGCTGCTTTGGGATTATCATAGCAAAGGTGACCTTCATTATGACAATCTGAAAGCAGCATCAACTCCAAAGCTCAGGCCCTGGAAATTCCTTATTTGGTCTACTTTTCAAAGCGATGGCTGAGTTCCAACATTCAGACAGAGTATGGTGGCATCTTTCAAGCTAACAGATTCATTTTAGCACAATTCATTTTATAACCTAGGAAAAATCATGCGTTTTAGGAAGAAAAGGGCAATCCTCAAAAACTCATGTTTAGGCTACGATATTCAGAAGAATACAGCCAGCATTTCCCTCTCAAAAGGCAATCTAATATAGTGGGATCCTCCACATTCACTGAAGCTAGGGGCACAGGACCCCATACGAAGTGGAAATGGAAAATGCAAATAAAAATGATATCTTTTAAACATGACCAAACACCTTTCTAGGGATTGCTTCACCGCCCTATATCCCAGGATCTGATTCCAGATTATCTGCTTTGAACTGGATTATATGAATCTACACTGCCAGATAATTTGGGATCAGATCTTGGAAAATAGGGCAATGTAGATTCAGCCTAGGTCTTCCAGTGCAACTCTAGGACCAATTTCCACTGGAAGTTGACTTGGACCTAAAAATGTCATGATGGGAGACCTAGAAGTTCCTAGAGAAAGCATTCTGATCAAATGCGGAGGGCCAACTGTATTGTTTGGAAGCCATTCTCAGCTTAGTTCCCACAGGAGTGTTTTTCTCCACTTCAATTACAGTTGCCATATCTTTTACATATCAACATATGACACAACACTATCTGCTGCCTGGCCAGTTCCAGACTGTGCAATATGCATGAAGCAGGCCAATACGAAGATGGCGAAGAGCAGAGCTTTCCAAACTGTTCATCATGACACATTAGAGTGTCGGCTGCAGTTAGTAAGTGTGTTGCACGAACATGGAACACCTCATAATTAACATAATAAATCACACACACATAAATGAAAAGTTTTCATGAGAGATTTTTTCGTATAAGGAGCGACCTGAGAAACTGAAAGTTGCTTCTGGTGTGAGAGAATTGGCTATCTGCAAGGATGTTGCCTAGGAGATGCCTGGATGTTTGATGTCTTACCATCCTTGTGGGAGACTTCTCTCATGTCCCCGCATGGGGAGCTAGAGCTGACAGAGGAAGCTCAACCTGCTCTCCCTGAATTCAAAGCGCTAACCTCTCGGTCAGCAGTCCTGCCGGCACAAGGGTTCAACTCATTGTGCCACCAGGAGCCTCTTCATGAGAGATGTGATGTCCCTATATGTTTTGTTATTACAATGTATTGTCGAAGGCTTTCATGGCCGGAATCACTGGGTTGTTGTAGGTTTTTTCGGGCTGTATGGCCATGGTCTAGAGGCATTCTCTCCTGACGTTTCGCCTGCACTTTGGTAAGCATCCTCAGAGGTAGTGAGGTCTGTTGGAACTAGGCAAAAGGATTTATATATCTGTGGCATGACCAGGATGAGACAAAGGACTCTTCTCTGCTAGAGCTAGGTGTGAATGTTTCAATTGACCACCTTGATTTGTTATTACAGTTTATATATGTCTCTCTTATCTCTTATCATGGGTTGATTCAACCTTTGGTTTGCCAGTAAAACTGAATTACTGTGTTGTGAAATGATGCATGTCTCAAATGTGTATCCACAACATGAAATGTTTGGAAAGCTCTGGCTTAGAGATTATGATAGTTGGAGCTCAAAAAGTAACTTCACCCATTTTGGGGGATTGAGTATGCATATGAGAAACACAACAGCAAGTTATTTGGGCAAATGAGACAGAAACCCCCACAAGCAATTTCCCCCATGCTTAATGTTTTTTGGGTTTTTTTTGTCGTGTCAGGAGTGACTCCTGGTGTGAGAGAATTGGCCATCTGCAAGGACGTTGCCCAGGGGACGCCAGGATGATTTGATGTTTTTATCATCCCTGTGGGAGGCTTCTCTCATGTCCCTGCATGAGGAGCTGGAGCTGATAGAGGGAGCTCATCCGCCTCTCCCCGGATTCGAACCTGCGACCTGTCGGTCTTCAGTCCTGCCGGCACAGGGGTTTAACCCACTGCGCCACCGGGGGCACCTAGATGCTTAATGGTGGAAATACAGTAATAAATACATTTATTTATTTATTTTATAGCCCACTTCTCTTCTAGTTGGGGATGCAAAGTGGCTTAAAATATAAAGTATTACATAATGAATGATGTACAATTCACTGAATTCCCATGTCAGCCAAGATATGCTGAATAACATTGTTCTTTTTATATTGTTCCTTTACATCAGTGGTTCTCAACCTGGGGCCCCCAGTCGTTTTGTGTCCCAATTTTGGAAGAAAAGTGGGATATGAATAAATATAAGAACCACCACCACAAGAGAGGTATTCATGTGGTACAAAGATGCATAGGCTTAAATTCAACAAGTACCCAAATCCAAAGAAGACTTTTCAGGAGCTTTGAGAGGCTGGACCTTCTGTTCTGCGGCCACACTGATAAGGTCTGGATTGTCCGACTTCTTTCTGTGGGTCGAGGCCTTTAAGACGTCCCCTCGGGATGAATTGTCAGACTTTTTGGCTTTGCTTTGGGTTTGGGAGACAGGTTCGCTCAGGTCCAAGAGATCCAACCCTGCTGACAAAACTGACCACAGACCAAACACAAAACCATTTCACTTGAATTCAACATGGCTTTGTCACATTTCTACTGTTTTAAGAAGAAATGGGTTGCATCTCTGTTGCAGCAAGGCTTAGTTAAGACTCTCAAGCTTTGTCACAGCAAGCAATAAACCAGCGAAAGAGCTAGAGTGGTCACATATTTGTATGTACGCTTTGCAAGAGGATTTAATCCTTCCCTTAGTACTTTCATCCCAGCTGTGATTACCCATTAATTTCCCTTATATTTTCTGATTTTTGAAAGATTAGCAGGATTACGGAGTAAATTTAAACATTAAAAGGAAGTATGGTAAAGAACATTACCCTGTCACAATGAGGCTCCGGGGGTTCATTAAAAATCATTTATTCTATTTTAAATGAAAACAAAAACAGTGAATGTTTGATTAGATTTTTCCATTTTGCACATATTGTTTTACAGGGTTGCGCTAATTAAGGAGAAAGGTGTAGATTCTCAGCTGACACTAATGAGAACATTAGTGAACCTAGGTGTTTGAATTTATGTGCATTTAAATCTCAGAGTGTTAATTGTCTTTTTTCAAATTCTTCTCTCCATTTGCAGCAAAACAAGTTAACATATCTTTAGGCTAAACCTAATGAAAAATGTAAGTTCTTTAAAGCAATGATTTTCAGTCATAGATCCTTAAGTATTTTGGACATAATCTTCAAGCCAGCTTAACCAATGGTCAGGGATTCTGGGAGTTGAAGTCCAAAACATCTGAAGAGCCAAATTTGGAAGCCACTGCTCTAAAGTCCCAGCTATGTCCATAAAAGGCTTGAAAGTATGCATTTTGTCACTAAAATCATGGTCAGAACCATGATGATCTGGAGGGTTCTGAGAGTTGAAGCTCAAAAAAGTAACTTCTCCAAGCTCTAGGACAGTAGTTCTCAACCTGGGGTCCCCAGATGTTTTTAGCCTTCAACTCCCAGAAATCCTAACAGCTGGTAAACCGACTGGGATTTCTGGGAGTTGTAGGCCAAAACACCTGGGGACCCACAGGTTGAGAACCACTGCTTTAGGAGAACCTCTGCTAGTGAATTATGCTGGAGATCTGGGAGAGCAATAGCTACAAGTTGAGTAACAGTTTAAGTGAATTCTCTATATCTACACTTCACAATTATAGCTAGTGAAAACCCGTATGAAAAAAACAACTGAATGACCGTTTGAGGAACTGACAACACACACCTTTGAATCTCATTGTGAATGAGAAATAATATTTGCAATACTTTCACTTGATTTCAAAATTAATTAAACCACCAAATCAGTTGGACTTTGCATGACCTGGGCCAGATCAAAGCATTCGAGCAGCAGATGCAGCAATAATAATGAGAATGACTTATTTGACTGACAATGGACAGACCTGGATTATGACTTGAACTTGCGGAATTTTAATTGGATGTTTTATATTTGATATTTTAACTATTGGTTTAAAATGTAAATTGTTATTATAATTGTCTTTTTTTTGGGCATCTCATAGTTGCCAGTTGTGAGGATGCCTTGAGTTCCCCTCCAGGGGTGAGAAGGACAGGATATAAATGGATGAAATAATAATCATAAAAATGTTTTGTTGAAGGCTTTCATGACCGGAATCACTGGGTTGTTGTAGGTTTTCCGGGCTATATGGCCATGTTCTAGAGGCATTGTCTCCTGACGTTTCACCTGCATCTATGGCAAGCATCCTCAGAGGTAGTGAGGTCTGCTGGAAGTAGGAAAATGGGTTTATATATCTGTGGAAAGACCAGGGTGGGACAAAGGACTTTTTGTCTGCTCCAGCTCCCACTTTCCTACTTCCAACAGACCTCACTACCTCTGAGGATACTTGCCATAGATGCAGGCGAAACGTCAGGAGAAAATGCCTCTAGAACATGGCCATATAGCCCGGAAAACCTACAACAACCCAATAATAAATAATGTTGCTCTCCATCTGCCACCCCTTTTGCATACCTTCCACCTTTTCGCAGGAGAAAACTGGGATATGCGTTTGGCAGAACAACATTAGCATGTGGGCAAAATGGCAAAAAGAAATTAACGGGGAAGAAGAGACAAGTTAGGAGAGGCTGCAGCAGTTGCCTTTGCCTAGGTCTCCTTGGAAGCAGCAAGATTCTACTATTTCCTCTTCTTATTAATTGATAATTAAGTTTGTTATTTGAACACACTTTGCAGCAACTGAAGAAATCTGAGGATGAAGAGAGAGATGAAGAGAAAGAAATTGGGACAATTTAACAGAAGCTGAAAAATGGAAAGGTAAAGAATTAATCAGGACAAACGAACCCAGCCAAATGAGGACAGCTAGAGATTTTGTTTCCTCATTCCATATAACAGGACCTGGTTTGACACTAACATCATATTCTGTTTAATGGCAGGACCTGTCTGGTTCCTAGAAGGCATAAATAGGATTTCACTCTAAAAGGAAGCAAGATACCTTAGAGTGCACTGAAATTGTCGAATTAGAGTTTGTCACCACTTTAACTGCCATGGCTCGGTTGCAACAGAATCCTGGGGTTTGTTGCATTCAATGAAGCGCTAACTCTCTTTTGGAGAGAAGACTAAAGACCTTCTAAAACTACAACTTTCTTGATTCCATTGCCTTCAGTCATGGCAGATAAAGTGATGTCAAAATGAATTAATTTTAGAGTGTAGACGCACTCTTAAGAATGATATGGATGAAGACCATTTATGTCACTGGTGTCAATTCAAATAACGGAGGTTGCTTGGTATTCTTTCTGCTGACATTCAGAGATTGCTGCCCTCCCAGCTTTGCTGATGCTTCGAGTTTATTTTCCTCTCGCTCAACTTTCAAGTGTCTAAAACATCTGGGCCAGTGTGGCTTAGCCAACTTGGCATATGCACAGTTCACAAGAGGATTTCAACAAGCTCATGAAAGGCATCAGTGGTGATTAAGCAGAAAAGAGGATATACAAGTCATATTCAAGACGTCCCCCGAACATTTGGGATTGTTAAAAAGACAGGACTGACTGACAGAGGAGGAGGAAGGTATAATGTCTTATGTGTCTTTGCTCTCCTCAGAAACCAGAAACAGCTGGGTGTAAGCATGGCATGACAGAAAAATCCCTAGATTTCAGGCTAATTTGGATGTTGGCTTCGTACCAGCAATATGAATGTCTATTTCCTCCGTTAGTGGGCATGAGAGGCAGGTTAATTAGTCATGCCCCAACTTCATGCAAATAAGCTTCTGCTACTGAAGCTGCCAAAATATCCCTATTTGTTCAGGTGAATAAATATCTCCCTTTAACAAAAAGGGAGGTGTAATGGCTTAGGAGCAAAAGGTCCCAGACTCACTGCTGACTTCATTAGTTACAAAGAGTGAGTAGTAGATGAAGGTTCAACATAAGAGAACAGGAAGATGGGAAGCAAACATGTCAATCAGAGCAGAAAATAGTTTACTAGTATCACCTGGAGCCCTTTCCCACTGCACCATTATACCACAATTATTCCATTTTAATTGCCACAACAACACTATACGGAATCTGGGATTTGCAATTTAAGGAGGAGCATCCAAAGATCTCAGCCAGAGAGATTGGAGGCCTCACCAATCTACAAGCAATCTATAGAATGCACCCATGGCAGTTTAAAATGCAACCATTGTGCTGTAACTGTGTAATGTTTTATGAATATTTATAAATATTTATATTTTTACCAGGCTGAGCTAAAGAACTATACTGTATTGTCGAAGGGTTTCATGGCCTGAATCACTGCATTGTTGTAGGTTTTTTTGGGTATATGGCCATGTTCTAGAGGCATTCTCTCCTCATGTTTTGCCTGCATCTATGACAAGCATATTTGCCATAGAGGCAGGCAAAACGTCAGGAAAGAATGCCTCTAGAACATGGCCATATAGCCCGAAAAAACCTACAACAACGCAAGAACTATATTATTTATTAGGACCTGTCTTAAGCATATTAGTAACCTTTCAATATACTAAATCAAATACTGCTTGAAAAAGATGACTTATATTTTGATAAGTAAAGGTTTTCCCCTTACATTAATCCTAGTTGTGTCCGACTCTGGGGGCTGGTGCTCATCTCCATTTCGAAGCTGAAGAGCCGGCGTTGTCTGTAGACACCTCCAAGGTCATATGGCCGGCAAGACTGCATGGAGCACCGTTATCTTCCCGCTAGAGAGGTACTTATTGATCTACTCATATTTGCATGTTTTTGAACTGCTAGGTTGGCAGAAATATATTTTGATACCAGTAGTCATTTCTAGAAGAAAACTCTCATCTGCATAGCCACTAGGAGGCTTCTGGAAATTGGGAGTTCAAAAATAATTTTTCTAGGTTCAGAAATATAGAAGCTCTTTGAAGCTTGGGTTAGGAGTCTTTATTAACCCAGCACTACCTAGAGATACCATGATTAAAATCTACTCCATGCAAACTATATGTTCTACCACTGAGCAACTGCCATCACACTTTGGATAGAGACCTTGTTGGCCAACATTAAGTTATATCTCTCCATCCTGGTATTGTATGCTCTGCTTCTATAGTCCTCAAGGTTGTGGTGCTCTGGGTTTGACCTTCTGCCTACTCTGAATTCTCGGAAGCAACTGTACATCTTACTTAGCATCAGAACTCCATTCCTATGTTGGACAAAGCAGGCATTCAGATAATAATCTTGGCTCCAAGAGTAGCCACTGTAAACTCTTTCCAAGGGAAGTGTTCAGTAAAATAAAGCAAACTTCTAATGCTTATGGATATCCAAAGAATGCTGACTTCGCTCCTCAATTCAGGTGCTTTGGTCATTGAAATTCCTATTCATTACACGTTTATTTCCTGTCCTTTCCTTTTCAGAGCCCAAACAATTTACATGACAGTGAGTTTTCAAACTCTGTCTAAAAATAAACTGGCTAACATCCTGTATTGCACTTATAGATTTTTAACCATAACTTCTCCATATTAGTACAACTACATAATCATAATTATTACGCTATTGCTAATCATAAATGCCCTCAGCAACTCACCTTATCAGCCAGCAGCCATATTGGGAATAGAGGTCCATTCAGCTCCAAGTCAGGACACAAGGGAGTTTTAGTCTCTTCTCATCAGTGATTGAAATTTTAACAATCAGAAGCAGGACCATATTGCTGGAAGCCTCCTCCTTGGACTCCAAGTGGCAATTGAACAGACATATTTCATTCAATGAAGCTACTGGCTTTTAAGGTGGGTGGGGGAGTCCTAATCTAGGAAATGTTACTTAGTTACACAGACATAACTAAATATCTGGTTTAAACAGGATATCAGCAAGCATTTTCGATATGAAAGCATGACTTCAGCAGAAGACAGAAATGTAAATCCTTCACTTACTCTGAGTGAGACCACTGGTCCACCTAGCCTAACACTGTTGACAATGCCTGGCAGCAACAAGTCCTGAGGGGTTTTTTTTTTTTTGGCACTTACTTAGAAATGCCAAGGGTAAAAATTGGAATCTTTTGTACACAAAGACCACTGAGCTAGGACAATGGAATATGAAGATGTTACAAATGGTTTGGGTAATGGGGGTTGAACCAATGGGGTGAGGATGCTGGTAAACATGGAGGCAAAAACTGAGAAACCTGGGAATAAACTAAGTGAAGATAAAAAGTAGTTGAAGATACAGATGAAAAGAGGTTAGGTTGGAATAGACAGAATCAGGGAAAGGCTGCAAAGAGACCTCAAATTAGATTAAACAAAATCATAGAATCATCGAGTTGGAAGAGACCTCATGGGCCATCCAGTCCAACCCCATTCTGCCAAGAAGCAGGAAAATTGCATTCAAAGCACCCCTGACAGAAGGCCAGCCAGCCTCTGTTTAAAAGCCTCCAAAGAAGGAGCCTCCACCACACTCTGGGGCAGAGAGTTCCACGGCTGAATGACTCTCACAGTCAGGAAGTTCTTCCTAATGTTCAGATGGAATCTCCTTTCTTGTAGTTTGAAGCCATTGTTCCGCATCCTAGTCTCCAGGGAAGCAGAAAACAAGCTTGATAAATTAGGGTGCTGTATACCCCTTTAATTTTATTTTTGCAAGGACAATTTGACCAGCAATTGATACTCATCCTCATCACCTCACTCCCCATTTTCTTCTATTATTAGGATTGTCTTATGTAATCATGCTAGCTGGAGGTTCTAGTTGTAGTCCAATAAAACCCAGCATTTTCTAGCTTTGCACGATAGGTACAGAAAAAGCTGAATCTTGGCTAAGATTCAAAAAATCCTTTCAGTATGAATGAAAGCAATAGAAAATTCAGATACCTGCTGTATTTGACGTCACAGGTCTTGCAATAGCTTCAGATTTGGTTTCGCAAAGAAAGTCATCAATTGAAGGGCTCAGGAGGGGTCTGCTTTCTTGTTGTTCATTCACCAGCTAGCAACAGAAAAGCAAAAGGGGTGCATGTGGGCCCATGGGTGTATTGGACAAATGGCTTTAAATATGCACATGATTTCATTTTAAAGCACAAAGCAAAATGGATATAACAACTGGACATGAGGCAGCAAATACAAACAAGATGCTATAAGGCAACACCTACACTCAAGTTTGGAGATAATCATTGTATGATATTTTTCCTCCAGTCATGACAATTTACCTTTTAAATATGTTGTAAGACCTTCCTGTGTTGTTCAGTATTGAATAATGCCAGATGTCAAGTTGACCTCCAGCCACTTTAGAGTATTTTATTTTTAGTACTCCACACAGGCCCTGGAAGGTTTCAGGGCATAAGAATGACCCCCAGATCTGTTGTATTGGCTTACGCCAGCTCTAACATCATATGAGTGGAAGGGACTTTGCAATTATCTAGTCCAAACCTGACTTAAAGTAGGATCAGCAATGTTGAGTAGTATTACAGCACATGAAGGAACTCATGGTTCACAAGCAGCCCTTGTAGCTCTAGGATGACATAGTTGTTCGTTGGGATCGAAGATGGGATGTGCATTTGTGATATGTTTGAGGGAGGAGAGCTGGGTTTTATGTCGGTGTGTCAAGAGGTTGTGTGTTCGCTTTGTATGCCCATGAGTGAAGAGAATGTCTGCCACTTTGTTTAACACACATAGAGTGTGTTGTGTATGTGAAAATAAGTGCATGAGGGAAGAAGGCTAAATTTGTGTGTCCCTATAAGTTAGCAATTTTATCATGCCTATTTTTGGTAGATACTACTGTAAATGTCCTTTAAAGAGTTTAGGTACAAACAGAGTATATTCATCTAATTTGCCTGTTGGTCTTAGCCACACACTCTCTTCCTGCATCTGGTAAGGCCCTTTCAGACTAAACAATTATAGCGCTGAATGAACTTTTACTACCATGACAACATCCTATGGAATCCTGAGGTTTGTGATTTGATGAATCAATAGTTAAGAATGGTAACGGCCCTTTGAACTATAAATGGTAAGATTCTTTAGTATGGAACAATGGCTGCTAATGTGGAATCATAGTATTGCGATTGTATAATGTGAAAGGGCCCTTGAAACTTGTTCACCCTCCATTTTGTAGTCTGAAGTTTTCCCTTTTCCTCAGGATTAAAAGTACATGATCTAGAATCTTTTCTTCATAATTAAAAGTACATGACATAGAATGCTCACCTTCTGCTTGGGAATACAAATTATTTCCCTTCCAAAAATACAGTGTTAGTTGTTACCCCAACTAGCTCAACCCCAAAAGATTTCACCCAAAAAAGGCTACCTGTATCCTCAGCAGATGGATACCTTGTGAAGAAGAGGCCACCATTAAGCTAATATTTTCTGTATTGTCGAAGGCTTTCATGGCTGGAATCACTAGGTTCTTGTGGGTTTTTTCGGGCTATAGGGCCATGTTCTAGAGGCATTTCTCCTGACGTTTCACCTGCCTCTATGTTAAGCATCCTCAGAGGTAGTGAGGATCTGAGGAAGCTTGCCATAGATGCAGGCAAAACGTCAGGAGAAATGCCTCTAGAACATGGCCCTATAGCCCGAAAAAACCCACAAGAACCTACTAATATTTTCTGTTGTCAAAGACTGTTTCAACACAGTCTATGAATCCAGGTCAGGCTGTAGATGTAAGAAAACTGGTTTGTTTTGGAGTGCCTACACAGGCATTCTATGAACTGGCTGAAAGATGCAAAGGAGTCCACAAAGCTCCACAAATTTGGAAACATCTGAATCCAGGATTATTTTATTTTCTTTGTCCCTCTGGCAAGACACACTGCTCAAAAGCAGCTGATCAATGCTTGCCTTCACATGTAGCTTTCTATCCATGACTCCTGAAGCATTAACCCTGTGCTCCACATACTTCTTCTGATTTGCAGAACTCCATAGTTCATACCTTGATGAGTGGCAGCAGATTGTATGGCTTGCTCTGGAATTTCTGGTGATTTTTTTAAAAAAAAAAACACTCAGCGTCTAACTGAATGTGACTAGGAGGTCACATTGGAGGTATACTTTTTGTAGACACCATGACCTTGAACTGTCTTCAAGGAAGATTTTAGTGCCTGTGTAAATGGGGCCAAAGAGCACTAATCCATTGAGGTGCTTCTAAAACGTAGTCAAAATCTGCTTTTTTGCATTTTTTCCCTCTTGTTTCAAGTACTGAACTCTGAAGCAAGAGAGAGCAATTCTGACCCATTTTTGCCATGAAAGGTCTATTGATACATGAAGAAAGCTGTCATATGCCCCCTTAGGGCCCTTCCACAGCTGTATAAAATCCACAGCGAACTGGATTATATGGCAGTGTGGACTCAGATAAAAGCAGATATTGTGGATTATCTACCTTGATATTCTGGGTTATATGGCTGTGTGAAAGGGCTCTCAGGTCCCTTCCACACAGCAGAATAAAACCCCACATTATCTGCTTTGAATTAGAATATATGGCAGCGTGGACTCAAATAACCAAGTCCAGTTCAAAACAGATATTGTGGGATTTTCTGCCTTGATGTTCTGGGTTATATGGCTGTGTGAAATGGTCCTTAATCTTCTCCAGGCTAAAGAAATCCACAACACATCACATTGTATTTTCCAGTGATCTACAATGTATTTTCAACACTTTGAGCCTTTAACTTGTACTGATTGAAGGAAGGAGACAATAAAGCAATCCCAATGGGAGTGCTCATTCTGAAACACCTGATTTGGTAGGCAATTCATCTTGCAAGCACACAACTTCTAATGATTCAATGAGCCCAAGGTCAATCTTACTACCAAACTTGCTTTCCCCCATTGGGGGGGGGGGCTAGGGTGGGTTAAGCTGCCTCTGAAAACCATGACATTTGACATTAGGTTGACATTAGGCTTGGAAGGCTTTTCACACTGCACTTCTTTCTTTGAAGACAATGCAAGGAACACATGATGCCCTGTCAACCCTTCATAGGCCACTTTGGAATTGCGTGTAGACCAAATTGGCCTCACAATCTGAAATTTCTCCCTTTATAGAAGGATGATATTTTGTCAAGTAGGCCATTCTATTGCTGGGACTTCCATAAGGTAAGATCACAACTGTGGGGTTGGGATGATATTAACGTATGAAAGGGCAAAGAGGAAGTTTGCAGATTTCCTAAGGATTAGAGCTAACTCTGATTTGCCCCTGACAGTATTCTTTCTTCTCTCTATCCTTTAGAAGAATTCCTGTACAGAAACGTAACTCTGTGACTTGTGTGATGTCCTGGTTAGGGTGCCAGCCTGTTATTCTGAAGCCCTTTTCCTTGGTTTTTGTTTTTGTTTTTGCTTTGAATCTTTTCCAGCACCTAGTAATGAAAACAATCTTGTTCTCCCACAGTTAATGGGATTGTAAAGACAATTGATGTGTCTGAAGCATTTGTAGCACCCAAAGTACACTTTGCTAGCTGGTGTAATTTTATAAAAGCAGTTCAGGCAACAAAACAATCAGAAGGAAAACACTGCCATAAAAAGTTATGTAGTATAGAGAAAGAAAACTGTCTGCATCCGGATATGTCTGGAAACCTTTGGATAGATAATATTTTTTGCTACACATATTTTGGAAACAACAAAAAGAACCATCACCACAACAAAACATCACATTATCAATGTCTGTGAAGATTAGCACTGGTTTCTTTGCAGACATCAGGAAACTGGAGATAATGACTCTTTAATCCATATCATTGGCCTCTAGTTCAACATTTCTGTTCTCTACTTTGCTCTCGCTCCAAAATTAAACTAAAATCATACATGAAAGCAAGCATGGCCAGCACTGATATAGACCTAAATCTGAATTTGTAGGCTACATTTCAGAGGAAGGAATTGGCAAAACTATATGAGTATTTTTTGCATAAGAAAATCCTGTGAAATGGATGGAGTCACTAGAAGTCAACAGACAACTTGAAGGCACACACCCACAAATGCGGCTCTATATTTCTATGCTTTGATTGTGTGTGTATGTGTGAAATTCATAACTTTTCTCTTTTTTCTTGTTTGCAGAGGTTGCATGTAATATACTATACAAGTCAATGGAATATCATATTTTCAGGTGTATCACAAAACCCGAACTATCCGAGACCTACTTGCTTTTCGGAAAGCCTGTAAAACCTTTCTCTTCTGACAATCTTTCAATGGGAGAATAATTCGGGACTATGTCTGTTATCGTTTTTATTGTATTTTAAAGTTAATTGTATTGTTTTAATCTACTGCTGTAAACTGCTCCGAGCCAAATTGGAGTAGCGGTATACAAGTCAAATAAATACATAAATAAATAAGGCTCAGTGTTATGCAATTCAGAACTTGGAAGTTGCATTTTTTTCTTAAATGTGTTCATTTCTGGGGTACTGACAGTACTCTTTAAAATGTATTTACTTCTACAACATCTTTATACCAAACATGAGCAACTTTCTGTATTTTTATTCAGATTTATATTTCAAGGATATACTTTAATTTTTTTTAAAAAGTAACCCTTAAAATGACAAGTAATTTTAAAGAGTCACACATATTAAAAATCCAAATACAACAAGAAATGGTTATTATTAAAAGTATTACAATTGCTGGTACAGCTCTCATATTTACGGGGTTCAGATTTGTGACATCTTATACTGATAGCACATAAAGATAATGCCTATCTATAGACACCAACGTGGCTGCTATTGTTCTCTGCCTTCAAGCAATTTTTAATGTATGGTGACCCTGGTCAAAATTTGTTCAGAGCAGGTTTGCCATTTCCTTCCTCTTAAACAGAGGCTCTCAACCTGTGGGTTCCCAGGTGTTTTGGTCTACAGTTTCCAGAAATCCCAGCCAGTTTACCACTGTTAGGATTTCTGGGAGTTGAAGGCCAAAAACATCTGGTGACCCACAGGTTGAGAACCACTGCTCTAAAAGGTTAAGAGAATGTGTCTTGCCCAAGGCCATGTAGTGGATTTCCACATATGAACCCTGGTCTCCCAGAAGCCTAGTCCAACA